GAATGACTTTTATATTGCCATTGGCGTTGTGTTTCCATCACCCCGATTAATTATCTTTTGTCTTTTCAAATATGATGCATCTTTCAGTAACCTACCCAAACAGTGTAAATGGCATATTTCAGGTTTCTTTCTGGTTACATAAAAGTGCTTGTTTCTATTTCATGTTTATAATAAAATAAATTCTGATTGCATATATTATTGTCTATTATTCTTTCTCAACGATCGACAAAGTTTGGTGAGATTGCAATCTCATTTTCGAAGGTGGTTGCATCTTCGCCTACCACATCATTATCCCAACCTTTTTCATATCTTTATATTTTTATCTCTTACATAATTCTATAGTTTTCCCTCAAAAATTTGAATATCCAAGTATTGTATATTGCGTCATCTATTTTTTCTTCTTGCCAATAAATTTAGCTAACTCTGTAGCTCCTTATCTCTTTTGGTGTCTATTTTTGAAAAAAAATATTTTACCTACCCTCTCACATAAATAATTTAATCATTAAAAAGTTTCACAAAAAGTGAGCAGCATGCAATAATAAGTTCCAATAAAGAAAATAATTATAATATACATATACATACTGCTTGTTTGATATGAGATTTTTTAATGATTAGATTACTCCTGTTGAATTATCAATGATTTTGTCATTTATTTTTTCAAATTAATAACTCTCACTATATATGTGTGTGTGTGTGTGGAAGAATGGAGATTGATATATTTTTCAAATTGATAACTCTCAAATTACTTTAATTATTATATGTACGTCTCTTTAATTGTTTTTTTTTTAATCAACAATGATCGGATTGATAAGAAATGACTTGCATTGAACTCTTACGTTTATACTCGACAATGTTTGAATTTGACTTTTATGAATAATAGTGAATATTAAATAGTTATCTATTTAAAAATTTATTTAACTTTCTGTTCAAGTCAATGTAGTCAAGAAATGAACTGCGTTATAATTAAGATCGGATAGTTCATTCCAAACATTATAGTGAAAACCACCCGACAAAAAATGAATTGGTGCAAAACTAATGGAAACTACATATATAGAATCGACAAAACCGGTAAAACCAGCCAGGTTAACAGTGAATTGGTTCATCGTCTTTTCATTGAGGAGGGAAAAACAAAGAAACATTGAGCGTGAAGAAGAAAGGAATGAAGATATGCTAACACCAGATGGATATGCAACAAAATATTACTTTCAGTACTTAATATATAAAAGTTAGTTTGACGTTCAATTTAATCCTAAATATAAGATCTCAATCTACTTTGTCTCTCATATTTACTCATTTTTTTCAAAGCAATCTAGTAGTTGCACATGTTAAAAGTTCTATCAAATGGTAATTCTAGCTAATACACATAATTAGCAAAGATAATTTAGAAAAGATAATGCTTATTTATTGCTAATAACTAATTTAGTAAAATTATTTAATATACTCAAATTAGTCAAATAATTCTCATATTAAGAACCAGAAGTAGTATATAATGCATGATTCCCATTCTTCACGGAGCTTCAAATAATTTTTTTTTTTTGAGCCGAGAATGCTGTGGGCAAGGGTAAAAGGAAAAGAGGATGAACATGAAAGCTTTCATGTGAGAGTTTATATGTTTAATCCTGCTTTTTATTAAGCCGTTATTAGTACCTGCTCCTCTTGTTAAAAACAGAAAAAGAATACAATGATAAAGATGTGAGCGGAAGCAAAGTCAAAATGTAAGAGAAGTTTGATATTAAAAAGGACATTTAACAAAGTTCGTAAATTCTGATGGAAGCTGAGCATACGTAATGCTAAAATATAATTTAAAGAAAAAAAATTTTGAAAAAAAATTAGGGGGTCATGGCCCTGCCATCCTCCTCTTTAATGATAAATTCCCAAATGCTTAAGTTGGGAGTGAAAGGCGCAGAAAGAAAGTGCCAACTGCCAAAAACAAAAGTAGTAAAAGAAGAACTAACAAAAGTTGGGTTGAACAAAAGATGCTAATTGTCACAACGTAATAAATTAATATTTAAATTCTCGTTAGAAAAAATACTTACATTTAATGTCCAGCAATATTTTGAATATGATTCTAGAAGAATACCTATATGTAGTAAAAGAAGAGAAAGGAAGGGTGCCATTGTGCCAGCCAGAGAAGAAGAGCTGGTATAAGTTTGGAAAATTATTCGTCACTTCTTAATTCCTTTAATTACTCCTTTCTTGTTTCCAAAGCTTACTGTCAGACTTAGCCACATTATCTCCTTTTTTTAAGATGACAAAATATGCATTTTAAAAAAATAAGAATCCAAATCTCCTAGCTATGGGTGAAGAAGGTTAATTTAATTACAACAAATAACAAAAGGAAAAACAAATATGAGGAAAAAAAAGGTCTAAAGCAAATAAACAATCACTACATATTCTTTGCAATCATTATTATAAAAATTCATAATAACATATTTGTCTTCATCTTTTTACTTACTAATCAAATTTTTTTAACTAATAATTTTCACTCTGTGTAATTTTGAGATTCTGGGAGTGTTTGGATTAGTTTTTTAAAAGTGGTTTTATGATATTCAAGATAAATATACGAGAAGAATTTTATTTTGACTTATGTGAAAGCATTTTTTCTAAGTGTCAAGTTAATCTTAAAAACCCAAACCCCTTTCATTACATTGCATAGCATTTAGTTTAGCTTAGGTCATTAATAAAGGCTCTATGCGAACATGACTCGGATTGCACTGCTATATACTATATCTTTTGGATCGGTTATAAATTTCTTGCATTTGACCTCAGGCATAACAACACGGTCAAATCAATATTCCGTCAGTTGTAAATATAAAATTTATTTTATAGTATAAATTATACTATAATATAACTTTTATATTCAGAATCAGAAAAAAAATAACTAATTAGATCTTATAAAAGACATAAGAGATTATCTAAAAATCCTACATATAAAACAAATAAATTAGCGGCTTGTTTACATTTGTTTACGTAAAACGATACAAAACTCCCGAACAATTATCAAAACAAGTAAACATCATCCACGAGAAGAGCTTTTGACGACGACACATGGATGCCCGGCGAGGCGCCCCTTCGCACGTTGTAGTTGTACATTTCCAAGGCAAAATGATGCTAGCACTATTCCATTCCCGTTTTTTTGTGCAGGGGGATAAGATCGTGATTGCCTCTGCATGACCCGTTTTATACTGTTTCTATAATCAACCCTCTCATGATTCGCCACCTGTGTTGCATTTTACTCTTTTCAATATTTAATATAATAACTAAATAACTATTTAAAAAATTTATAAAAAAAACCAGTTAAGTTAGTTATATATAATAAATATATATTAATTTTTCTAAACTATATTATTTTTAATTATGTGTATTGAAATTATTTTTAATAGGAACTTCTTACAATTAATAAGATATTTTAAAGAAAATGTTATAAATTTTAGAGACAAAATAAATTGAAATTTTATGTTTAGAGTTAAATTTAATTTTAAGTAGTTTTTATATTAAAGATTAGAAATAGTATATTAAAAAACTTCATGTTCCAAGCATTGTTGTATTAGAAAAAACTTTTGTATCTATTCTCTTTAACTTTAATTTTCTTACACTCATTCTTAGTTTTTATTCAATATAATTGATTGATGACATGTCATTATGATTCAACACGATTTGACCGTTAAATCTCAAATTAATGCCATTAGAAACTCTAATGTCCAATTCAGTTCTAAAACTATCGGTTCGAGCACTATCTCACATCCAATTGGAACCTCAATTATGTACATTGAATTGAAAGTAATATGCATTCAAAGGTTTTCGCAGGGTATTTAGGTCATGGTCCAATGTCAAATGATAATCTTTTGATTATAGTTTACTTTAATGTAACATCAAAGTTTCAAAATGAAGCAATGTGAAGAACGGGGTAGGTGAATCTACTCAAACTCTACGATTATGATGAAAACATTTTTTGATAATTTGTACTTTGAAAAAATAATATTAGTATAAATTTTAATATTTATTAAGAATTGTAATCTAATAATAAATAAATAAATAATAATATTATATCCTTTTGGTCAATCCTTCTTTGAGATCACCATTTTGAATCCTACCTTTTTATATTCGCGGTTTAACAATTTTTTTATTAAAAGGTTGGACCGAAAGTTGTAAAAGTCCAGAACATTTTGGCTTCCCTTGCTACCGTCGGTTATGTAATCACCTTAATTATATTACTACTATTTTAATTAGATTTTTTAAAAGAAATTTACTACCTCCTATTCTTAATATAAGATCTCGTTTGACTTTTATTTTGATTTTGAATATAAGACCCTAATCTACTTTGTTTCTAATATTTATACAATTTTTTTTAAGATAGTCATTTTAACAATAATAGTTATATAGCCAATACATTTGATTAGTAAGGATATTTTAGAAAAGATAATATTTATTTATAACAAATAACTAATTTAGTTTCTTTTTTTAATCTTTTCAAATTAGTTAACTAGCTTTTATAATTAGGAGAACATGTAGTATTACTGTACCTTTAATAAGCCGGAAACTAGAGAAAAAGAACAAAACAACACCGAAAAAAGCAAGAACAAGAGGGGGTCGCGTATTATCACCATTATAATTTGGAATTTAGAAATATATCGTCGAGGTCAAGAGAGGGAGAAAAGCATTATAAATGAACATTGTCCAACTTCAGTCATTTGCGCCGTTCACTCTATCACTTTGGTCACACTCTTTTGCTGCCAACCGTCGCTCGTTTCGTCGCTTCACAGTTCGTGCTACTTTGGGGTATTTTCTCTTTCCTCTGATGGCTTCTTTTGTTGCATTTCAATTACTATGATTTTCTTTTTCCCTGCCGCTTGAAATCTTTGTACTAAAACTCGAGATCTGTACCATTCAGTGGATTTTTGTGCGTACCATTTGTTTTTTCTGTTTGCTCTAGCAAATCTGTTTGTTCATACTTTCTGAAAATTGTTTGGTGCTTTGAGTTGCTAATCCTTTCCTAGTCTTGCATCTGAAACTTACCTGAGGAGTTGCTCTACTAGGCAGGCTTATATTTAATACAGGTTAGCTTTTCATAGGTCCTATCTTCTGATTTCGTAATCTTAGCTATTGAATCCCCCTGTTTCATAAGTGGGCGTGTCTGCTATTGGATTTGGATAAAGAATCGAGTTGTGAAATGATATCCCGAGTCATATCTTTAAGGTAGCTTTGGATTGCGTTTCAGGCTTGTCTGTCCTGCCCATTCATGTTGAATCGGGTCAGTTGTTGAATTCCCCCTTTCTTTGAACTTATTCCCACAGCCCATTAAGTGAGTTTGCTTTGGCCAAGCCTTCTTAAAGCATTTTTATGCACCCGACCTCCGAGCTCCAAAATATCTGTTTGACGCGGTTGGAATCCGCATATGAATGTGAAATTCTTCTGATTTCGGCAAGCATGAAATGATTGACAAATCTGAAACGAAGTTGTGACTTTGTACTTGTAGGTTGCAATCATGGGTTTTGTAGGGTTAGCTTAAACATTGGTGTCTGTTTAACTACTCTGAATTTTACATTTTGTAATCATAACTTGCTGATAGCAGAAATTTGACTAAATTGGCAGATAATCTTTAGTGAAGGATATTTTATTCAGATTACAAACAACACATCTGCCTATGTATTAAATTATCTTGCATGTTGACCTCAAACATTATAAAAAGAAGACAAAATTATTTAAATGATAAATCTTCTCCTTGCATTTATTGGACATGCACTTTAGGAGAAGAAAACTAGAAAAAGTCCATTATTTCGCCTTGTTTTGTTGCCATGGTCTTACTGGTACACTTATGATATGTGGTGTTGCACTTGAAAACACTAAGTCGCTAATTTTGCACGGATTCAATCCTTAATTATTTTTGTGTAAGGATTGGTTTGACTTGCGTGTTGAATGTGCAAAGATTTTTTTTATATAAATTAATTGGATTTACAAAAGATGTCATTCTTTAACATATCTGAGTTGACTGAATAATGTATTCAAATTGTTTATTTGCCATAACAGAGCAATGGCTTCTCACATTGTTGGTTATCCCCGCATGGGACCCAAGAGAGAACTTAAGTTTGCCTTGGAATCATTTTGGGATGGAAAGAGCAGTGCTGAGGAACTGCAGAAAGTTGCTGCAGACCTTAGGGTAGCCATCTGGAAGCAGATGGCTGATGCTGGAATCAAATATATTCCAAGCAACACTTTCTCATACTATGATCAAGTATTGGACACCACTGCCATGCTTGGGGCTGTTCCCCCTAGATATAATTGGAATGGTGGTGAGATTGGTTTTGATATCTACTTCTCTATGGCACGAGGGAATGCCATTGTACCTGCTATGGAAATGACCAAGTGGTTTGACACCAACTAGTAAGCGTATTTTCCTCCCTATTAATTATTATTAATACTAATCATAGGTGGCGTTTTTGGGCTTCTATTTTGGTGTCTGTATTCCATTTCTTTTACTTAATTTGGATGAATGAAATTGAAAATGTTGAGTTTGTCATTCGAAGTTGAAATATACTTGGAGATTTTGATGCGGAACTAAAGTAATTATTGTGGACATTTAAAATAACTATAGCAAAATATATAATATAATTTATGAAGATATTCAATTATGAATTTTATCACTATTGTTGTGCCAAGTATAGAGGTGGGCCTTTCAGATCCACCTATCTTCTACCTGGATGATGTATCTAATTATTATTATCCATAATGAAGTTTGAAATGTTTTTTTCCCCTGTAAAAACTGTAATGTAACTATAACTGCTTATGGTGCAGCCACTACATTGTCCCTGAATTGGGTCCAGATGTTACATTCTCCTATGCTTCCCACAAGGCAGTGAACGAGTACAAAGAGGCGAAAGCTGTAAGTTCGCCGATTTCTTTACTTCAAATGATCCGTTTGCTTTTCTTGTGTTTAAAATTAATCGTAAAACTTACAGTACTTAACCATTGCATTTTGTTTAAACTATTTTCTTATTTGAATGGATTGTATAAGCGAGAGATTCACTAGAGTTATTTAACTTCATGGATTTATTATGTTCAGAGTCATAAATGATCAGATTGGTTGATTTAATATACTTGTAACGTATGATGATGGAGCCAAAGAGAAGGGAAGAAAAACAAGAAGACTCCTTATAAATTTGTTTTATATTTATAATGCTAGAAATAATTAATCAATAATTGAGTATTATTATTAATCTTTGAATAATACCATTTGTGTACTTGACTTTTAATTGCTGTTAATTTTTAATGCTTCGATGCATCACATGGGGGAGTTTGTTATGCTAAAGAAATCCGCACCATTGAATTTTTTTCCATTTGTTCTGTGCTTATGAGAAAATAAGTTTTAAGCTGTAAAAAAAGAAATTATTTTTGAATCATTTGTTTCACTATTTGATGTTTGCATATGTTTGCTCTTCCTACGATGTAGCTAGGTATTGATACCATACCAGTGCTTGTTGGACCAGTGTCCTTCCTGTTGCTGTCAAAACCAGCGAAGGGTGTTGATAGATCATTTTCTCTTCTTTCCCTTATCAACAAGATCATTCCAGTCTACAAGTATGACTTTATCCATTTATTAATTTTAATGACAGTTGAATTATATATGACATTTGCCCAAATTTGCTTTTGTAATTATTGAAGGGAGGTTGTGGCTGAACTGAAGGCAGCTGGTGCTACTTGGGTCCAGTTTGATGAACCCACCCTTGTGAAGGATCTTGATGCTCACCAGCTACAAGCATTTACTCATGCCTATGCAGAGTTGGAATCATGTTTATCTGGTCTAAACGTCCTGATAGAAACATACTTTGCTGATCTCACTGCTGAGGCATACAAAACGCTTACCTCTTTGAAGGGTGTTACTGCATATGGGTTTGACCTTGTTCGTGGAGCAAAGACCCTCAATTTGATCAAGGAAGGATTTCCAGCTGGAAAATTTCTTTTTGCTGGTGTAGTTGACGGAAGGAATATATGGGCCAATAACCTTGCATCTTCTCTGAGTGCCTTGCAAACTATTGAGGGCATTGTTGGAAAGGGTATTTATTACTGATTGCATTAATTGTTGATTGCTATGACACTTGAAGCTAAACGTGCGGTGCCATTTTCTGCAGACTGTGTAGTGGTCTCTACGTCTTGTTCTCTTCTTCACACTGCGGTTGATCTGGTGAATGAAACGAAGTTGGACCAAGAGATCAAGTCTTGGCTTGCATTTGCAGCACAAAAAGTTGTTGAAGTCAATGCCTTGGCCAAGGCGGTGTCTGGACAAAAGGATGAGGTACAATCTTTTTGCCAGAGGTTTTTTTTTTTTTTTTTGGAATAATTTTATGTTTGATGACAATAAACTTAACATTTGACTAAAGAATCTCTCATTATTACAAAGTTTTGGCTTCTTGGAATTTTGTCTCTCTCCAGCTAAAGTTCCTGCATTTTGAAAGAAAGTCTCTTAGCTCAGTGTGGTTTATGATATTCTTCTATTTTGAAAAGCTATAATGTTTCAAAATTTTAGCTGTCTTTTCTCTTTTAGTTTTGATTAATTTCTAGTTTACTAGGGTTATCTTTCAGCTTCTTACTGCTCTTAATTATGCAGGCTTTCTTCTCAGCTAATGCTGCTGCTTTGGCTTCAAGGAAGTCCTCCCCAAGGGTGACAAATGAGGCTGTCCAAAAGGCTGTAAGCCGTCTTGAGAATCATGAATTTTTTGCATTGCTGATTTTCATGACCCTATCTTGTAAATGTATTCCTAAATTGTTATTTTTCCCATTGCTTAGGCTGCTGCTTTGAAGGGTTCTGATCACCGGAGGGCCACAAATGTGAGTGCAAGGTTGGATGCTCAACAGAAGAAACTGAATCTTCCTATTCTTCCGACTACCACTATTGGTTCTTTCCCTCAGCATGCAGATCTTAGAAGGATCCGCCGCGAGTTTAAGGCCAACAAGTGAGCCTTCTGGCTTTTCATCTGCTTTTACCTTCTGAATTTGAGAATTTTTGCTATTAGATGTTATAACCTGGTAAACCATTTTTTTATTAGAATATCTGAGGAAGAATATGTCAATTTTATTAAGGAGGAAATCAACAAAGTCGTCAAGCTGCAAGAAGAACTGGATATTGATGTCTTGGTGCATGGAGAGCCCGAGGTGAGGAGCATTTTTGTGCCATCTTTTGAATTTTAATGAAGACATTTTAGCGTGAAATCTTGTACAAGAACTCACTTTTTAAAGTTTTTTTCCATTTAGAGGAATGATATGGTTGAGTACTTTGGAGAACAATTATCTGGTTTTGCTTTCACTGCCAATGGTTGGGTACAATCCTATGGATCTCGCTGTGTCAAGCCACCCATCATTTATGGTGATGTGAGCCGTCCCAAGCCTATGACTGTCTTCTGGTCTTCAATGGCTCAAAGTATGACTAAACGGCCTATGAAGGGAATGCTTACAGGCCCCGTTACAATTCTGAACTGGTCTTTTGTAAGAGATGACCAACCCAGGTATGAAAACATGACCTTCAAATTTGAAGAAACATTTCCACAGGATAGTCAGTTATGTTTGACTTATTCTGATTGTTATTAGACACGAGACCTGCTACCAAATTGCTTTGGCTATGAAGGATGAGGTTGAGGACCTTGAGAAAGCTGGTATTACTATCATCCAGATTGATGAGGCTGCTCTGAGAGAAGGCTTGCCTCTAAGGAAGTCTGAGGAGGCATTCTATCTGAACTGGGCTGTTCACTCATTTAGGATTACAAACGTTGGTGTTAAGGACACTACCCAGGTTCAATTTCGATTCTCTAGCCCTTCTCCTTATAAATTTTATTTATTTTGATAAATTAATTGTTAGTCAAAAGTGTGCTAGAAATGAACCTTCCTTAGGTTAGGATGGTTCTAGTAACAGTATAAAGTTTAAGGGGGGGGGGTTGAGAAGTTGACTACTTTTTTGTTTGACAATGTTAGAAGGTGGGAATTTTTCATTGATATTTTCTGTTTTTGGCCAGATACACACTCACATGTGCTACTCAAACTTCAATGACATCATCCACTCTATCATAGATATGGATGCTGATGTGATCACCATTGAGAACTCCAGATCAGATGAAAAACTACTCTCTGTGTTCCGAGAAGGAGTTAAATATGGTGCCGGTATTGGTCCTGGAGTTTATGATATCCATTCTCCAAGGATCCCGCCCACAGAGGAGATTGCTGACCGAATCACTAAGATGCTTGCCGTTCTTGAGAGCCACGTTCTGTGGGTCAACCCAGATTGTGGCCTCAAGACACGCAAATATGCTGAGGTTAAGGCTGCTCTCACTAATATGGTTACTGCTGCCAAACAAATTCGCTCCCAGTTAGCCAGGTCCACCTGAGTAGTGAATGAGCAGGGAGGGTCGTTATTCCGATATCTTGTGCTTGAGTTGAGTAACAGAAGTATTCCAATATACTGTCTAATTTCGAATAAAGTGTAGTGTAAGGTTTTGCTGTTTCCTCTTGCCTTTTTCCTTCCCTGCTTCTCCTTTTTTGGGCATGTAGAGTCTGATATTTTGTGCTTGAGTTGGGAAACAGTTGTACACCATCTAATTTCAAATAACGTGCAAGGTTATGTTCTTTGCACTTTCCCTTTTAGTTCCCTGCTTTTCCTCTTCATTATAGCCGTGTTTTGAGCATATGGATATGCTTACGGCTTTTATGAGTTTCTTGGAAAAATTTATTATCATCAAGTTCATAAATCTTTAAACCGGTACTCATTTGCTAACATTTTCATGCACTGATTAAGAGCGATTTCGGCTGAACTGATGAGAGGTCTTGAAAAGAATAAACTAAAATTCAATTTTGCATATTTTTATTATTAAATTTCCTAATCAAAACATAAGAAAGGTATGAATTCAAATTGCGAGGGTTATTTGCTTCTATCATCAACTGGGAAGTGCTTTCCTCTGCTATCATAAACCTTTGCTTTTTAGGTTGAATTGGCTTGACTTTGTGCTAAATTTGTACGCAAAATTTTGTATCTACCTATGCTTTTCTTTATTTGTAACCCTGTAACTTTGCTTTGTTAACATGGCTCGGCCCTTTTGTTCAAATTAATTGTGCTAATGTGAAGTTAAAAGATTTTATGGAAAAAAAAACATAGGTATCAAATTAAAAATTGAGAAAAATGAGTGCCTCCAAAATAGTTTTCTCAAAATTAAAATAATCAATATCTGGGTATAAAAATTGGCTCACAAGCATTTCCAACGCCCAACAGTCCAAGGTAATATGTATTTCAATATCAGTCAATTTACACATATAAAAGTATGAAAAATAATATTACAAAATATTCTAAATTAGGTGGCCTTCGAATTTTTATGTGTTTTTATAATTTATTTTTATTTTCATATATTTTTCAAAGGATTATGTATACTCCTTTTCTTATTTATAAGGTAGAGAAAAAAGTTTTTCTTTATCTTCTCTATTAGTCATATTATTAAATTTTTTAATATAATATACTATTTTACTCTTTATTTATTATTGCATAAATTTTTATTTTTAAAATGTATATACACAAACTTTTTTTTTTTGGTCCAAGTATATACACAAACTTAAATAGAAAGAAAGTTGAAAATTGACAGAGTAAATAAAATTTTAGGTTTTTTTTTTTTTTTTTTTGGGTTAGATGAAATATCTTAAAGGGAAGTTATAAATACGACCGAGCATCAGCTTTTGACCGTTATTATTATCATCTCCAAGACTCTTTCTGATCAAGAGTACCTAAAACGCAGACAGTGCAGTACGCTATAAGCGAAGTTCGAGTTTTGCAGCCATTCCCGTCCGACATTGACGTGAAAACCGCGGGAATCTACCGTTGAAGGCCGAAGGCTTAAATAGACGACAAATTGCCCATACTGTTCTGCCATACGAGCTTGTGAATCAATTAATTTAATTCTTCATTCCATGCTCATAATGCGGCGGAATAATTAAGCCTTCAGAAATTTACAGTTTTAAATTTTTCTCTTTCAAAGGTCTAATAATCACCAGGTCAACGGCACACCAGAACTGAACCCCCTTTCAAACTTCCCCTCTATTCCCTAGCTGCTATTTGGATCTTCAGCTCGCCCTTTCGAATAAACAAATTATGTCTTTCTTCGCTTTTGGCTCCTTCGAGTAGGGCCTTTTGTTTTTCTTGAATCTTTCGGTCAATCCAATGGAACTCAGATTTGAGTTTCTTGTTCTCTTCTTTTTCTCCTCGCTGGCTTCAATTTTTGTCATCGCCAAAGCACAGTGTAGCGAGACTTGTGATTTTGCTCTTGGTTCTTACTATGTTCGGAATGGTTCGAACCTCACTTACGTTTCGAAGGTGATGAAATCCCAGTTGCTTTCAACCCCAGACGATATCGTAAACTACAACAAAGACAAAATACCCAATAAAGACAGCGTTCCAGCACTCACAAGAGTCAACGTTCCCTTCCCATGTAAGTGCATCAATGGTGAATTTTTAGGCCACACGTTTCAATATGTTGTTGAGACAGGGGACACCTACGAGAAGGTTGCTGTGACAAACTATGCCAATTTGACCACTGTTGACTGGTTGCGGAAGTTCAATAGCTACCCACCCGACAATATTCCTGACACGGGAACCTTAAATGTCACGGTTAATTGTTCCTGCGGGAATAGCGATGTCTCAAAGGATTATGGGTTGTTCATCACGTACCCACTTAGGCCAGGGCAGACGTTGCAGTCAGTGGCAGGAGAAGCAGGTCTTGACACCGGACTACTGCAGAGGTACAACCCGTCTGTGAATTTCAACCAAGGAAGTGGTCTGGTTTATATTCCGGGCAAAGGTAAGATTGGTGTTGAATTTTGGAAGATGATAACAAAAAGGACGGAACTTGATTATTTAGGTGGAAAAATTTGCCTTACACCCTCTCTTTCTGGACTAGATTGTCAATGAAATTTTCGTAAATTAGCAGACCCAAATTGCATTTATGCTTTTTTTAAAAAAAATATTTTCTTTATGTATTTTAGCTACATGGCACCATCTCAGTTCTTCAGGAGTTGATAGCTGAAGTTTTATTCTGTTGGATTTGCATATAGAATTTGTTTAAGTTGCTATGGATGCCTCATTTAATAATCTCCTCAGTTATTTGATCGCCAAAAAAAAAAAAAAAAAACTCCCCAGTTGTGGTTATATGTTCTCCTGGAATGAAGCTAAATTTTTGTATTGGAAGGATGATGATCTAGTGCTTGTTATGAATGTAAAAATAGTGTGTTATTTTAACGACGAGTAAGGAATTACAAGTTTTGAGGGAACAACTTTGGTCCAATAACCAAGTATTAAGAGATATATCATTCAACGACCGAAATATGTTTTTACTGGGATAGCTCAAGAACTGGTCTTGGCTGCTGATTCATAACCCCTACTCCCACTGAAAGAAAATTCCATTTGAGTGAGGTTTTGGCAATAGCTGTGGTGGTTTTATGTGTCAATTCTTGATGCATCTTCCAGTACAGAAATATCTATTTCTGTTTTACGTTTTTAGGCTTAAAAGGGAATTTGAGTATCTGGACTATTAGCGAGCTTCATGCTATATCTAAATTTTTGCCTTGGTACTCTAATATTAGTATAATTGTCTCACTTTTTACTTTCATTTTCCAGATCAAAATGGTACCTTTGTGCCTCTTCTGTCAAGGTAAATTTTATTAATTTTACCTTCCATGCTATCTGGTATCTGCATACATCGCAGTATCATTTTGTTCACTGTACATTTACTAATTTTAATGGATATCTTTTCTTTTCCACAGAAAGGCTGGAGGTTCGACTTTGGCTCTACTCACAAAACTGGCTATATGATGATTATCTTCTCTGTACTTGACATTTATCTCATGCAAATGATGATAATCTGTTAAAATTAAAAAGCCAATCCTGCTTTGAGCTCATAAATTCCCTATATATAAACAGGTCTTGCTACTGGGGCTATAGTTGGAATATCCATTGGAGTAGTAGCAGGGCTTCTGCTATTGGCAGTTGGTATATATATTGGCTATTCTAGAAAGAAAAAGGCACACAAGGTGAAATTACTCTCGCAAGAGTCCAAAGGTCTCACTTCTCAGGATAGGAGAGGTAAAGTTCACTCTAGTTTTATTTCTTCCAATTCTCCTTTTCTCTCTTTCCATGCCTTTGCTCTTTAGATGTGGGTGAATAAATACAATGCTGCAAAGTCTACCTGATTGAACGGCCCTCCGTTAATAAAGTCAAATCTAACTCAAATGATCTCAAGCAACCACTCAGAATTCAATTAATCTCATTGATTGCTTATTACTTCGTCTCCTCATTCTTGCCAGTGTCAACGTTATTTCTTCTTTTCCCTCAAAGGTAGAATTTGATAGACAGAGAGAATGTGATGCACCCCTGCTTGATAATAAAAGCCCAATGCAAGACTAAAAGACAGCAGAAGCAATAAATGAGGGAAATCCTTAGGTTTTGATATTAATACCTCAGAATACCGAATCAGTGTGACAATGAACTCCCCTGATTCTAGCCAAAACCCTCTTCCCTCGTTACACCCAGAAATCACAAAGAACCGAAACAAATATTGAAATCACGGACCAACACTCAAGGACAGAACATAACCACTGGCATTCAAGAGGCCAGTCTTTCCTCACCGCTCTCAAAATAGAAAATATGACCTGCTTCCACCAGGAGACTCCAGCAAGTACTATATGCCAAAAAATAACTCAGCCCCCAATATCACCCTCTCCAAGATGAGGCCTATAGCTACCTTATGGCAACTCTGATTCTTCATGCCTTTCTCCTTAGCACCATGAGTCTTGAGATCAATGCTCTGACCATCAAAAAGTGGGTTTCCCTTTTCTCGCATCTTCCTAAATTTCCTCTTATAGGTCTTTGCAGAAAAAGTGGTTCTATCAGAATGTGAGATCATAGAAATTAATATTTGCCTCACTTAATCACCTTATGACTATCCTGTATGACTTACTAGGTATGCTGGTTGTACAAGGCATGGTTTTTTTTATTTTTTTTATTTTACACTTCATAAAAAACCATTATGATCTGCTTTTAAGCTTTTTACAAAATTGTTATATTGTTTAGACACTTTGATGAATCCCATTTCAGATACAACCTCTGGTAATGGTGGAAATGGAACTTCAGGATCTGGTGGTCCTGTTGCTCCTATTGCTGGCATTGCTGGCATTACAGTGGACAAATCAGTAGAGTTTTCATACGAAGAACTAGCTACTGCCACAAACAACTTCAACATGGCTAACATGATTGGTCAAGGTGGTTTTGGTGCTGTCTACTATGCTGAGCTGGGAGGCGAGGTCTGTGAATGCAAATAGAATACTGTTTTTATCATAGTCATTCCTGCAAGAAAAAATTAATTCATAAATCATAATTGATTGATAATTTTGTTTATCTAGACTGTAGAAGAGGACTGATGATTTATGATATGAAGAGGGGATAAGATCAAAGAGCTTTGATCTTTTACATATCAATATTTTTAATTAATTGTTTCTTTATGTTGGAAATGAGTAATTATTTTTTTCATAAAGCCAAAAAAGATTAGTGAGAAAGGATTAAGTGATGATTCAAAATGGTTGTGCAATGCTGTTTGAGTAGATCTCAGCTGAGAAATTCAACGAAATAAATTGAATACTAGATATATAAAACATAAAATGTATTCATCTTTCCTGTGACTTGTTACACACTCAAAGATGAGATGACTTCCTAATAATGATCTCATTCCATGCTTTTGAATATGGCACAATGAATTTTTTCTTTTTTCTAGTCGGACAGTTGTTTTAGCATGATACCTGACAATTCTCTTGAGTCCTGATGATTTGGCAAGTGCTCTTAATTTATTGTAGTTCAGGTTCCCCCCCCCCTTTTTAATATTGATTCTCTCGTTTCCTTAAATAATTTCTGTTCAGAAAGCAGCAATCAAGAAGATGGATATGCAGGCAACAAGAGAATTTCTGGCTGAATTGAAAGTCCTGACTAATGTTCATCACCTTAATTTGGTACTAGATCTCCCAAATTATAGGCATTTGTTATAATCTCTTTGATGTATCGAAGTGTGTGCCATGTAATTGGGGATCTCAGCATACATTAATTGATTTAGTAATGAAATCTAGCGTTTTCTTGGGCCAAACCTTCGGGTATCAACTTGGTTATTTTCAGATAAAATATTGATAGGACCTTATGACTTGTGAAATTGGTTGGTTATTATGCCAATATTCTGTTTTCTTTCTCTATAAATTTTCTTTTGCATAACTTGTAAAGAACACGTATGTACTTAACAAAAGGTTTTGTGGGCGTCTCTGTTGCTAATCTGAACTATCTGCTGCTGCCTATTCTCTTTACTTATTTTTTTCCTCCCTCGTATTCCTCTTTTTTCTTTAACTTCTGCTTTTGCATCAATTTCATATCCAAGTGCATCTCACTAGCAAATACTCCTCCGGTCCTTAATATAAGACCCATTTAACTAATTTGATTGAATTAAGAAAGTTAGGTAAGTTAGTTAATTATAAGAAATGTGACATGTTTTTCTTAAAACACCATAATCATCTTTCTTAATACCCCCTCTCCCTCTTCTACTTGATTATGGTTGAAGGAATATCCATAGGGGTAATTTAGAGAAAATTGATAAATATGATAAATGGATCTTATATTTAGGACCAAAACCAACTCAATAATTGAGTCCTATATTAAGGACCGGAGGAGTATATTATTTGTTCATGTTGAATAACTAGAGTATTTTTGCATCCAGCTTATCTCAAACTAGGATAACATAATACATCAGTAATTTTAGTTTTTGCTTCTAAAGCCACTATTTGTCTTCAATTCAATGTAAATGTGTTGGGTTTTTTTTCTTCTCATTACGTACACACACATGTTACCCGCTCTTTTCCCCTAGAAGAGCACTTTGAATAAAACAGAGTACACGCACGATCCTGTATTTTATATATAGTTAATGCAGTGAACATGGGTGATTTATCAAGGAATTGGCATGTGAATCCGAAGAGAGTGCTTGAATCTTGTTTGCAGAAGATTTTGTCAACTATTCAATATGCTATAAGATTTTCAATTGTTGCCTTCGAAAGAGTGTGTTTTAAGTGATCAGACTGTGACTTATATTTTTGGGAGGAATGTTTTGGGTCACTGCCTCTGCCTCTGTTAGTCCTCTTGCAAGTTGTGTTGTTTCATCTTGCAGTTATCTCTGTTTGTTAAACCGTCATGAATTTGAATAACTGATCTGGCTAAATAAAATACTTTTGTAACTGTTAAAGAACCAAGTGGCTGTGCTTAGCGACTGCAAAAGTAAAAAATGAAGCATTACACTCACCAAATTTAGGGAGTTCGAAGTGTAAACCTCTTTCATCTTCCAGTTACCTCTGTTTGTTAAACGTTCATGAATTTGAGTAAAATACTTATGTAACTGTCAAAGAGCTAAGTGGCCATGCTTGGCGACTAGAAAATCCAAAAATGAAGCAGTACAGTCACCAACTTTATAGAATTCTTACACCATCTCTCAGAAGCATGACCTCTTCATGACGTAAATAAGCAATTTTGTTTGACTTTGTCAATAACTTATATAAAATCAAATTGTTTAACAAATTGATGGACTACAGTAATTTGGGTGGGGCCATTTTGAGAGGTTTGTACTTTTGGACAATCAAATTGGGAACTCTGTGATCACCAAATGAAGATGTAACTGTGACATGAAAATTAATGATCTAAAGCCTGATGCTCTATCATTCTTCTCAATGACCATGTAGGTGCGTTTGATCGGCTATTGCGTTGAGGATTCTCTTTTCCTTGTCTATGAGTACATTGAGAATGGAAACTTAAGTCAGCATCTCCGAAGTTCAGGTTAGATCTGCATGTTGTTGATATTGGGTGGTGACAGTGCATAGTGATAGTGATAACTTACCTGTAGAGTCATATTTCGCCAGGGAGAGATCCACTGCCTTGGTCTACCAGGGTGCAAATTGCTCTGGACTCAGCAAGAGGTCTTGAATATATTCACGAGCATACAGTGCCAGTATATATCCATCGTGACATAAAGTCAGCTAATATATTAATAGACAAAAACTTCCGTGGCAAGGTTGATTGTTTTTTGAAAATATTTAATTATGGGATTAGACAATTAGTACAAAATCCTCTGATAATATTCATGTAACAGGTCGCAGATTTTGGATTGGCAAAACTGACTGAAGTTGGCAGCTCAACACTTCCCACTGGTCGTCTTGTGGGTACATTTGGATATATGCCACCAGAGTATGATAATTTTTTGTTGTTTGTTTTCTCAAAAAAGCATTTCCCTTAATGATGGAGCCTTTTAAATTTATTTACTGAGTTCACAAGTAAATTATACCTTATGTTCTTGTGGTACTTTCCTTTGATGTAGCATGTGTCAGTCGACTCCTTAATTATTTGCTCTGTCATCACTTAACATCTGGGTGGTATTTTTCTCATAAATTTTTAATGGAAATAGTTACGTGAGTGTTAGAATAATGAGCATTTTCTGTGTAGGAAATTTGTTTACGTGATTATTTGCTCTCTTTTTTTTGGGGGGGGGGGGTTGAGAGAATGTGTGACCATTACTGTTTCATGGTCTGGATTTGCTGCTAATTTTCTTGACGCGTACAGTTTGATACATTATTCTGTAAAAGTTTCCAGGTTAACTAGTGAACAATTCTTCTGGATTTGGATGTGTATCCTGCTTTTCCTGATTGGTTCACTTGGATCTTAGATTCTACATTCTAGTGATTGCGCTGGTTTTTGTTTTATTGTTTATTTTGGAGAGAAGTTCCCTTTTTTGTGACTGGATTTGATTAATGATCTACATGTTCCTATCTGCAGATATGCTCAATATGGGGATGTTTCTCCTAAAATAGATGTCTATGCTTTTGGAGTAGTTATCTATGAACTTATTTCTGCGAAGGAAGCTATCATCAAGATAAATGAATCAATCACAGACTCAAAGGGCATCGTATCTTTGGTCAATCTTAATCTCTCAAGACTCAAATCTTTGCAAATGATTATCATTATTTTCAAATCAACCAAATTATTGTCTCATACATCAAAATAAATTAGAGGTCTCATCAATTCATTTCTCTTTCTTCCTTCTACTGATGCAGTTTGATGGAGTTCTTAATCAACCAAATCCAACCGAAGATCTTCGCAAATTGGTGGACCCAAGACTTGGGGATGACTACCCTATTGATTCAGTTCACAAGGTATGTTTTAAGAGTAAATAAACACTGAGAACATTGAATCGGGATCTTGAGGTTGGGTAGGTCTGGAGTTTCTCTGAAGTTAGGCACAAATTTATACCAGAATCCGAGGATTCCTTTGAATATCTGTTTGTCTGATGCTGGCAGTGTTTTAAAAAATTGGTCCCTGGAATCTGGTGATTAAACAGATTTTAGTCCCTCATCATTTGATTTGAACTCATTTTGTCCTGAGATTATGAAACGTCAGAAATCATTGGAAAGGAAAAGATTATGGTGAAATAATTATAATTCTTGGCTTGCAGATGGCCCAACTTGCCAAAGCATGCACGCAGGACAATCCCCAGCTGCGTCCAAGTATGAGATCTATCGTTGTTGCTCTTATGACACTTTCTTCTGCCACTGAGGATTGGGATGTTGGCTCCTTTTATGAAAATCCAGCTCTTATGAAGCTCATGTCTGGAAGATAGCATGATGAAGCAATTCATGTCTTGTCTGTAAATGGGTGTAATGTAAAAGAAATCGAGTATATTATTGGTTTGGTTTCCAAAAGATGCAAGCTTTCTCAATTTGATATTTTCCCTATTTCTGAATCTAGTGTTTCACTTTCAAATTTTTCCTCAGTTTAGTTCTTATGGTAACCTGAATTAGGTGTTCTCAGGCACATTACTAACGTATGAACAAGATACGTGTGATGTGATGGAGAACTGATTTTGCCAGTAATTTTGATATGCAAGCTTCATCTGAGTTGAGCAGCATTTAATTCTCACTGACCTTAAAGTGAGAAATAACGAAATCACCGCAATTCCCCTTAGGCTATTCGTAAGCCAATGAAAGATGCAACTAAATTTAGACTTCATGCAATGTGTGTGTGTGTGTGTGTGTGTGTGGTGTTTAGCTTAAGCAATTTGAATTTGATTTAAATTTTAAGATTTGTTTTTAAAAAGTTTATTATATTTTCTGAGATCATAATTGTAAAAATGATTTTGATTATGCATTTTCGTCTCTTTAAAATTTTCTTCACCTGAGACTTGTTCTCTTAATGGAGATGTTTGTGATATCCCTTCGGCTCTAAAATTATTTATTTAGATTAAAATGATAAGGAAATGTTTAAATACAAATAGTTTATATTAAATATAAAGGATTATGTGTTGCCTCGCTTCAAATTCAAAAAAGGAATCTCCTGAATGAAAAACACTGAAGTTCAATACACATTATGCATCACTGAAAATGAGTAGACTGTGAGTTAGAAAATTTTTTCATGGGTAAAACATAATTTTAAGAAAAATAATACTCTTTCGATTCTTAATGTAAGACCTAATTAGAAAGTTAATGTTAGTCCTATATGTAATATCTATTTTATATGTTTATCAATTTTTTTTCTTCAAATTAACCTTATTGATATTTTCTTAATAATAATCAAGTAGAAGATGATAGAAAAGAAATTAAGAAAGATGCTCAGGCTATTTTTAAAAAACATATCATATTAACTAATTTAACTAATATTTTTAATCTATTCAAATTAATCTTATATTAAAAACTAGATTTAGTAGGAGGTAAGGCAAGGTAGATGATAATTCATGAAACATCATCCATCATGGATAACATGTCAGCAGCAATAGGAACCTCCTTCACTTTCCTTTATTCATTGTTTTTTAATAAGTGCAGGTACTTTCAAATTACCATATTTAGTTATTTGGGTTAGTATAATTTTTAGTCCTTAAAATTTGAATAAATTTTTATTTTAGTTCCTCAAATTTTAACTTATGATTTTAGTTCATAGAATTTGGTTTGTCACAAAATATTAAATCTTAAAAGTATAACGGTATTAAAATCTACTAAAACATTATCAATAATATTAAAAGTAGTGATGTGAAATCACCAGATCATACCTAATTAAATCTTATATGAATAACAGAGTATAGCATAATGAACAGCTCCTAAAACAAACAATAAGGGAAAAAAAAACCGGGGGTTAAAAAAGTTGCGTTAAAAAAGTTGCGTTTTGAGTATTTGTTTTTTGCCCTTTCTATTGGGTACACAGGATCCACTTATGTGTCATTTAGCGAATCCATATTATTACTTCAACGCTGCTGTACTTTCCAGAACTAATGTTTGAAGATGGATTAAATTTTAAAGACAAAAATTATAAATTTAAAATTTAAAAAACCAAAATTAAAATATGTTTAAATTTTAAGGGGCAAAAATTATATTATTCCCGATTATTTTCATGTACTTGTGGAGTCGTCGCTCAGAAGTCGGAATAGCTAACAAGTTCTTTTAGTTTAAATACGAAAGATTCCATTCTCACTGGACTACGAACCTGTAAGATGAAGGAGTTTAAGCAAGTCTCCATGTTCTCCGACTCTCTGGAAGCCATTAATCTGATTTTTAGAGATGGTAATCAAGGACACCCTCTTTGGAACATTATCCAGGAAATTCGCCTAACTATAGCTGAGATCTGGACCTTTGAGCTTCATCACTCACACAGAGAAGCACTGACATGTGCTGACCTCCTGGCAAAAAATGCTCATGATGCGGACACGACACCCACATTTTATGATTCTGTTATTTCCGTTTGTGCTGTCAAATATGCACATGATATGGGCTAATCTCCCCTAGTCTTTTGTTTGTATCAAGCTTCGCTTGCCGCTACTAATTCAAAAAAAAAAAAAACGAAAGATTCCATCTTCACCTTTTCGTCGTCGTTATATATGTAATGACAGCAAACGTCTTTTTCAATGGACCAAGACGTGTGATGTGGAAGAAAGCTGAGCGCATGTCCTCCAAACGTGTTTAAAAGTCGAAAGAAAGATAGCTTTGTGCAGATAGCCCGATAGATTCACGCCACAAAAGCAAAAGAAGTTACTGAATTCACAATCCCTTATTTGACTGAGAGATTTGAAGTTGTCGTCGTAGACTTAGATCACAGGATGCGTGGTAACAAGCAGGCTATGAGGCAATCGGTTGTTTTATTGATTTGCATGCTGTGTTTGGTTCTGGAGGTGAAGGTTGGTGCCGATTACATCCCGCCGGCGAGATTGGATGGCTTCGTTTATAGGAATCAGCATCACCCCGATTCCGTTTTGATCGAAGCGTTTTTCGACCCAGTATGCCCTGACAGCAGGGACTCATGGCCAGCGCTCAAACAAGTTATCACTCACTATGGCTCTCCCGTTTCTCTCGTCGTTCATCTGCTTCCTCTACCGTAAGTAATCACCTCTCACTTTTGTTCTAGTCTCTTGCACTGCGCTAATTTCTTTATGAACAGTTAGAAAAATGGCATACAGGACTTCTGAAACTCGATAATTGACTTTAAAACTTATAATCACTCTGAAGGATTGAATATATATTGATTATTCTTAAAGTTGCAACTTTTTTCTTCCCCAAACGTTGCAAGAATACTTTGAGTATAGAGGTAGTATTGTGAAGCAGAAGTGATGACTTGGGAAAAAGTAGTAGCCTTAAATTCAAAAGATGTATACAGTCTTTCCCCATCCCTATTTATCTTTTTTCCTCAACAGTGATTCACACTGCAGGCGGAGAATTTGAGCATGGTTGTGGTGGATTCACTAGAATCTCAAGATTAGTTTATTTAAAACTGCAGTTGGAGGATCTGCCATGGTCTTTATCCCTCCTGTTTCTATTTGTTCTTCTGAACTGATTGGGAAAGAAACTTGTGGGTTTTTGTCTCCTTTGATCAAATTATTTAACCAAAGCCTTAGTACAAGTCAATGCAATGGCCGAACAGTGGTGCTGTAGTCTTGTTTCTGCATTTGTTGTCCTGTCATTAGCTTGGATCAGCTCAAGAGTATGCTTGATCACGGTTATTAACACTGTAATTAATTCACTTGTCATTCTGATAATATGTGATAACTTATGTTGCCCCTGGAATAATATACCTTTATTCTCATAATTGCAGTTACCATGACAATGCTTTTGTTGCATCTCGTGCTTTGCACATTGTAAATGCATTGAATAAATCTGCAACATTCCCGATGCTGGAGTGGTTCTTCAAGCATCAGGTCAGTATATCCGTCTGCTTAAGTACTTTGTGGTTTCTCTTTTATTTCTTTCCTTTCTTTTTGGGTTGTTCCACAACAATAGAAAATGACATTCTCTGTTCTTACTCCCTGATATGGGTATTGAGATTTTGATTTATTTCTTGCTCTGATTTGAAAATAGGAAAATTTATATGCTAATCAGAAATCTGTCTTGAAACTACGTTTATGTTTCATGCTTGAATGGAAGAAGTTGCTGTCACGGTTGTAATGATTTCCCTCCACTTTCTTGCAGCAGCATTTGATAATATAACCTATTCCTCTTTGATATATAATACAACTTCAAAGAAGAGCTATAAGAAGATTATTGATTTTATTTGGAATAATTGTTTATGTTGATGATAGAATGAATTACATCCTCCCCAGTGCCCTTAAGATATAAAGTGAATTTTTGTATCTAGAGTAGAACTTATCTATACAGAAAATTATTCCAGTTTATTGCTAACTAGATATGTCGCATACCATGTAACTACAGGGGAAATTCTATAATGCTCAAACCAAGAATCTTTCAAGGGCTTCCATTGAGAAGGAGATGGTGAAGTCTGTGACAGAAGTAATTGGGAGATCTTATTATAGTTCAATCAAGAGTGGCTTCAATGACCGGAAAACTGATCTTCACACCAGGGTGTCGTTTAAGGTGAGATGAAATAAATTTATCCTCCAGGTTGCATTTAGAGAAATCAACTTTCTCGAATATCTTTGAGTTTAAGGTTTTTATATGCAGAGTAATATAATATTAATCGACTGTAATCTTTTGCTAACTAGCAATGAGTTTGGTGTGAAAATGCAGTATGCTGCTTCAAGGGGGGTGTCTGAAACGCCATTTTTCTATGTGAATGGATTCTTGTTGCCTGGTACAGGATCTGCTCTTGACTATAAGGGTTGGAGGAAGGTCATTGACCCACTGGTTGGTTCAAACAGTGGAAAAAATGCAGAATCCTTCAATTGGTTCTTGTGAAGGTTGCAACTTGATGAGATGTTGTTCTGTGTTTTCTTGCATATTGCTAAGTTAAGATGATGACAGTTAATGTGTGTGTTGCTGGGTTCCAGTAAAGCCAATGAATAAAAATAATCATGGGAATATGTTTGTGCTTATTTTGGTCAGGAAATATATATGGGGTTTGGATATCGGGGAAAATAATTATAGTGTTATTTCTTTTCGTGTGATCCTTTTGGAATGGCTGCTATTGTTTTTAACTGTCCCTCTCAACTAGCTGTGATTGTCAAATTTAAAGGTTTCAACATGCTTGGTGGCTTAATTTCTTATGATTAATGCCAAGTTTGTTTGGAAAATGCATTATGCTGCTTCAAAAAGAGGAATTGAAGGGGGGTTATGGAGCACCATTTTAATTGGTTTTCCAATTAAGAGTGAAGTATTCTGAACAATTAAGTATGATAATATCTAAATATATGTTTTTTAAAGAAATATTTTATTAAAAATGATTCTATTTAAAGGAAAAATTAACGTAAATTTACATTAATAAAATTAGCTCACCTAATATTAATTTCCTAATTCATTAAACCTCTTCTTATAAATGGGTTTGAAAGATTTTCTTAGCCAACATAACTTTAAAAAATTACTCAACAAACAACTCTTTACGTGACTGTGTTTAAAACTTTAAATATTATAAAATTTTTCAAAAAAATGAATAGGAAAAATCATAAAAAAGACCTCGAAAATAGAAAAATTACAA